TAAAGAAATGGCTCTCGTGCTGTAGTAGCAGAGAGAGAAGGTTTCAACCCAATGATTAAGAAGGAACCAACATTGTATATATGTATATTATATATATAGAGAAACAGAGTGGGATCTTCTCGTAGAATGGAAGAGGGAGAAAGCTTCGAACAGAAAATTTTGTTTCTATGATTTTTGCGGCTGGTGGAGGAGGGAGAATCTCGAAATTTGAGGCTCTAAAAAAAGAATACTACTGTTCAGTAATGAGCATCGCTGCTTGAGAGAGTTTGAGGCTTGCGACTGAGAAGAGGAAGAACCAGAAAGTCACTGGCAGGAGGAGAGAAACTTGTGACTGAAAAGAAAATGTGGGAGAGGAAGTGAGGCTTTTTTTTATTAAAAAAAAAACGGAGTAGCTCTGGTTGCCATGAATGTTTTTTTTTTTTTTCATTCTGATACTCTGAAAGGAATAGAAAAAAAATTAAAAGTAATTTTATTCATCAAATGTGTGCGCTATTTACAATACTACAAAACATGATCATGCAGCGTTCTAGTCTATATAAACAGTTCTAGTCTATATAAACATGTAGATTTTACAAAACTTTAAGTTGTATAGTCTTATAAAAGAAAAATATGATGGTAGTCGGATAGAGGTAAATTGGAAGATAGATAAGCATATATCTCTATCTCTTTAGTTATCTCATTTCCATGCTGTCTTATTTTTAAGTTCGGGCTTTTGCTACTCTAGAATAGTCGCAATTCAAAATTCTTTGTCAATTCAAAGCCCAACGTTTTATCAATTTAATATCTCAGTATCTCTAGTCGACGTGCTTTCTAGCTGGCGGAGGAAATTGTATATTCATGTTCATATCATATTTGGTCTCGACTCTGCAGAGGGAAATATGTTGATACTTTTGTTTCCCATTAGCTGATATATTTTCCTTTACCATAAGTTGGAGTAAGGACTATCAGCTCGCAAAGGTTGCATTAAATCAAAATTTAGCACAAGTAGTACTTTTATCTATTTCCAGATTGTATTTAAATTATGTGATTTTTTCATAAATTCAAGTTCTAGGCTCTAGCTTCGTGTTTAAGGCATGAAGCCAAATTTTGTAGGTTTCTTTTCCTCAACAGTTGATTTTTTGTCATTGTACATAAAATATTTAGTAGTTTAGATGACTATCTCATATATTCTTTTTATCTATTGTATTAGTATTCAATACCATTAAGTGTTATCATTTAGAAGTTCACCCATGCATAAATGTCTCCTAAGAGATTATTTGTCTAAAAAAACAAGAGTTTGAGCTACTAAAAAACAAACCACAAACATGAAACCGAACATTGTTTTAAAAATGATTTGCCTTATTTGCCTATTATGTTAAACTTTGTTTCGAGTCGCCTGAAGTTGGTTTGAGCCCATCCAAGTCTCCACCTGATTTTGAGTTAAATACATGTATATTCGACTTTTAGGGCATTGATATTGTAACTTTTTGCAGGTTGGCTAATGTTTTTGCATCATGGTGATGATGCATGTCTAAGTGATTTTGTTGTTTGGCATTACAACTCTCCTTTTTTTTTTTTTCCAACCTTATGCATGATGGTTTATCTGTGTTATTTTCTGTATTTTGGATTATCTCTGCTGTGATAATGCTTTCTAGTTTAGCAACCTTCAGTTATACATTCGTAAAGCAGGGATTATTTTACGCAGGCGATTTTAGTGTTGTGAGTGTATTTAACGATGGTACCATGCAAATAAATATGACACTATCATTCACTACGACTTAAGACATGTTTGAAAAAGATGTGTATAGCATAGAGAATTTACTTTTAAAAAATTAAAAACTGATTTTCGAACATGGAAAGGAGCATATATTGGGCCAAAGTCTATTGGTTAACTTGTATTGCTCTTATTTTTTCATTGCAATCAACAATTTTGTATATTTTTAGCAATACAAATTTATGTAATAGCTGTTTTGACGGTTGAAGTAGATAAATTCATTACTAATTTATTCACGGCATGTGAGCAGAAAATGTTTCGATATCTCAAATTAATGAATAATCACAAAATTTCTGTACTCGTACTTTGAGTATTAATTGTCCTTTTTATTTTTTAATTGAAATTAAAGTTTATTAAATAATAGGACATGATGATATTTATTAAAATTTAACTATATAAATATTTAAGTAATGTTTTTTTTTAAAAATGAAACAATTACTACTATTCTATATTGTGGAATGAGATATAACTTTTCCTATATCTAGATGGCATATTTCCTTTTGTAGAAAAATCTATTGCTTGATCTCAACCTAAATTTTCAGGCACGTTAACTTACAAGTGACACTGAAAAATGAGAGTGCCTTGCATTGAACATTGCAGAAATGCACCAAGGGAAGGCACGAGTGGTAAACTTTTTTTATTGATGGGCAAATTTTTTTCAATACCCTTCTTAATTTTCAAATAACACTAATAAACTATTTCCCATCAGTTAATATATTGAATGATTGAAAAACGAATGACCAAATATAAGCTTCTTCGTTACAAGTATTTTCTCTTGCATAACATCAAATGTCAATTGATATCAATATGGTATAATTTTGAAAATGTACGAGATTATTTGATTTAATTAAATTATCCGTGATCAGTTTGATACAATTGATAAATATTTTTTTAAAAAAATTTGTTTCCATGGTACAAGAAAAATTAATATAAAAAAAAAATGACGTACAAAATAATTACTAATATAGCAGAAATTTCATTTTGACGGAATATATAAAATAACATAAAGTTTATTGAATTTATTAGACCAATTAACAACACGAAATAATTGATATAAAAACATATTATACAGGTTTATATAAGACAATTTTACTGCCGAGATGATATTAAATGGCAGAAATCATAACATATAATATTTAAATAAATTTTGTTTGCACGACACGTTCTCTTGAACATCTCTAAAATGTTGAAGACCTTGATAGATTGTATCGGCATGATGTATAACATATTGGCATGTCTCTCAGACGTTACAGTACTTAAATACACTATGTTGCCATCGTAAGTTATTGTTATTCTTCCTCTTTGTTTTTACTTAAATTCTATTTGTTTTCACTATGATAAGTTGAAAGACAGCAACTTCTATTATCCAGCATCACTTACAGAGTATTATCACTGAAATTGTTTTCACTTTTAAAATTATCAGAACGGTATCCTTCAGGTGTCTTTTTAAGTAACAAACAGTAAATAACTTGGTAAGAAAGTAAAGAGCTTGCATGACATTTGATGCTAACCTCTCAAAAGGTGAAGGTACTATAGAATTTCCTTAAGACAGAAACCATGTAATGACATAAAGGAACAAAATCTCAAAGTAATTCTGTCCACTTGTCCTGCTGCACTTTCGAGCCAAGTCAACAGCTAGCAGCAAGTACATTTTTCAACGGTCATCTACTTTCCTGTTTATATCTCCTAAGTTATGTTACATTACACCAGACTAACTCTCAGCTAATCAAACTGCTGCCTAAGTTGCATCTCAGTTTCACTCTTCCATGTGGCATGAGATGACTGGCCTTTCATCCTCTTGTTCTTCTCCTTCTCTTTTATAGTAGAACCCTTCTTCTTTGGTTCGTTGCTCGGGTCAGTGGGAGGGCGATCGCCACATAATGGACAGAACATTCCTCGAGCATTAGAATAGATTTTGGGTATTCCACAATGCAAGCACACTCTGTAACACAACACATTCAGCAAAAGCATAGCCACCAGTACTGTGACCAAAAGACACAGATGTGGGCAGACACAAACACAGATATTTTTAACTGATCAATGACTGTGCAAGAGACCTACATTTGTTCAGGTACTGAGATTCTTATAAGATACTTATGGCTTCTTATCTCTATGGGTAGGAGAAGCAAGAGGGGTAAAGCTACTGTCCTAGGGGAAAGTAAGACTTTCAACAAGAATTGAGTCAATGTTCAAAGAATCAAAAAGTGAGAAGCATTTGGTTACGCGAGTTGTATTTAGTTTTATATTTTAGATCTGTTCCGTGCATTGAGTTTCCTTAAGACAATTCTAAAAATTTTCAGTTGTTAGTTGAGAATGTGGGGATTAATTTTTGCTGTTGTGGTGTAATTACTGAACGTAGAAACCATCAACAAGTCTAGGTTGTTTCGGGAATGAAAAGATTCAGCAGAATCTTGCTTTGGTTTTTCAGATTCCTTAAAACACTAGGGATCAAAGGGCTTCCTCCTAACAAGCATTTTTTTGAGAAGAAAAAACTTGGTATATTCAAAGGGCACTAAGGGAGTTCAATCCCCTATAAAAAAGAAAAAATTTACAATTTTAACAAAATCATGATGAGCTCCCCAAGTCCTGCTTGACAAGCCCTTGTCCTTATTCTCACAGAGACAGGGGATACATCAAACATATCCTTTTTTGTGATTTTCTAGTCAACCTCCATAACTAGATCCAGAAAACCTGAGACCATAATTTTCTGACTCCCACAGGAATGATTTTTTTACAACACTAGAGTAATTGTAGCAGAGTTAAAAGGATCCCATGCGTCCATTAAACAGGTATTTTATTTTCTACAAATTCAGCCAATCTATAGAAGAAACTACTAACAACAAGGATAAGAAAGCCCCTTGTAGTGAGAAAAACAGTGGATGAATAAGTGGATACTTACTGGGGACCTCACTAAAGATGTCAACTGGGAACGATGAGGTGGGTCACAGGGCTGAAATCCTGGATGCAAGCGTGTGAATTTTTGGGAGTTAAGTTCATTTGTCCCCCATGAATATAGAGAAGTTTATTAGTTATCACATTACAGTCCTAAATTGTTGCTTACTACAAAGAATAGAACATAGGCTTCAATACATG